TTCTTGGGCGTAAGGAGCGATCAACACGTGGGGCTGACAACCTTACCGCCATCTATGAACCGATTGTCTAGAAAATGTGGGAACCTCAACATCTCACAACCCTATGGGCCTCCAAGGCCTGTTACAGAAACACTTTTACTTTTTTTTTATGTATCCATCTTGCCGGGATATTTATCTTTGATATAACCATAAAGAGGTAACAATATGTGTCACCACTTCTATAAACTCCTGCGTCTTTTATTAAATTACTGTTAGTACAAATATAATCTATAACTGATTTAGTACCTCTTGCTGATCATATACATTTGAGAATATCTTTATATAAAAAATGTATTGATTATTTCTAATTCACTGAAGACAGTGAATGTTTTTAGAGTTTTCTCGATTCCCATTTAAGACATTCTTTCCATGCGTGTCTAAGATTCTTTCAATTGGCTGTTGACCAACACGGGCATTGAAGTCTCCACATATTGCTAGGTAATCCAGTATGCTGACAGAGTTCAAGTGTGACTGCAAAGATTCATAGATGTCAATGATGTCTTCCTTTTGTCCTTCTTCGGGTGCATAAACACCTACCATAATCAAATATCCCCTTGGGGTTTTCAATCCGATGTTAATTATATGGTAGTTCACAAAGTTGTAACTATGGACTCTGCTTCTCCAAGATTGTTTTAACCAAATTTACATTCCTGATGTCACTATTCTATTTTGGGAGACTCCACTATTAATATTCAGTTTTATTACTTAGTCTCCACTTCATGTTTCAATCATAAACAGATCATCATCAGGTGGTAATTCATGAATATATGAGGAACATTATAACTGAATTAACAAGTTAAAATGGATCCCACATTTTACAATTGGATTATCTCATTAAAAAAAACGTTAAACCTGGGATTGGTCGTTAATGAATATACAGTTTGTTTATGTGTTGGATGTTGAAATAAAATATAAAATATGTGAAATGTTTGGATTCTTTATTATATACTGCAACACAATTTGCCACATTTTCCAAGCTCATCTATACATTCAGAATTACTGGGTTTTTTGGGCTTTGTCGATTGTATGGTAATCTAAAACAACATCTACAAGGAGAGTTTTGAGAAATTGGCCCTTGACTCAGCATAACACAAACCATCGCTGTGGCTCTGGTACATTGACGACACATTTGATATCTGCCCTCATAAGCCAAAGCAGTTACAGAATTTCCTCAGCTACCTCAGTATTTTAAGGCCTTCCACCCAGTGCACTATGAAAATAGAGTCAGATCATACCATTTCTTTTCTACACGTTCTGGTTATCAGGAAAGAGAAGACACTGGCTACCGACATTTACAGAAAACCCACCCACACTGTCCGACATCTCAACTTCAAATCTAACAATCCACTGCATGTGAAAAGAGGTTCATTTCACAGTCTTCACAATAGAGCTTCCACAGCGGCCTCCATAGTCTAGAGGTAACGTTCCCACCTCATGACTCGTGGTACGCGGGTTCAAATACCCAGCGGAGGTCGTCGAATTTTTAAGGGCGGAAAAATTCAGGGAACAAGTCCTCCGGGAGGGACTTTAAGCTGTGTGTCCCGTGTCGTAACTTTACGGCACGTAAAAGAACCTCATATCCCCAAAGGGAATCACTGAGCCAAATTCCAGGACGTTTCCCGCCCAACAATAGTCTCTAAGGCCTCTGATAGATGGGGGAAGCATTATAGACACCGCTAAGCACCCACCCTCTCTAAATAACTAAATAACTAACTAGAGCTTCCACCATATGCCATGAACAACAAGATCTGTTTAATGAAATTATCTGCCAGAGATGTGATCTTCAGCTCAGTGGTTATTCCCATGGTTTCATTGACTCAGTCATTAATTCCAAGGGTAGACATCATCTGAATAAAGAACAAAACCTTCTGGCCTCAGTGTATATTCCATATGTGAAGGGTGTTTCAAAGAGAGCAGTTCAAACATATAGGGAATCAATATAACATAAGGACGATCTCCAAAACTAAGAAACTACGCACTTAAGACTTCACTCAGGAAAGCCAGGCCTGAAAAAAATCCGCAACAGACAGCGTAGTGCATCCATAGCATTCTCTGTGAATGTGGCATAAGGTGCATTGGCAAAGCAGGCAAGACCTCTAGCCATGCACCTCCGTGAACATAGACACATTCTCAAAGACAGTCATCTAGAAAATCCAAATTAGCCCAATATACCTACGAAGTGGATCGCAGGGTAGGCTGGAAAGAAGCCTGGATTGTGGAAATTAAAAGGAACAGCAGGTATAGGAGATACACGGAATCGGCCCACATGGCATGCAAAACCAATCCAATCAGCCAACCCAGTTTGGACATTTTTCTCCCATCTAGATCCCCTTATCAACAATGAGGTTACCAACTTACAGAAAAGATCAGTATTATGTGACAGATTCTTCATGGGTTTCTATGCAGTTTTAGTTCTGAATTTTCATTTTTACTCCACAAATGGAGCTTGCAGTAAGCTCAAAATGGTTTCACAAATTCCCCATTTAACCCTATGCATTGCTTTTCATGAACTTTGTGGCTAGGTTTGTTGCATAAAATTTTCACCTTAGATTTAGTTCTGTGCATGCTTTGTCACAATTTTTATCGCCTATTTCCTTGTTATATTCCTTCAACAAAGCCTGGTCTCAGGTATTTAAACAGCTGTAGATATACTGACATGGGTGAATCTGGTTGTACACCAAGATGGCGGATGTCCCAGAACTGGGAATCCAGAAATACTGGACACAGGAGTCATCATCACCAAAATCTCAAATGCCATGCCATAACAAATAAATACCCAGAAGTAGTTTCTGTAGTACAACAAGTATATGAAGTGCTCAGTGACACTGAAATCCTTGCCAAATGCACACCAGCACTCCACCATTAAAATCTACTTCTTGCCATTTCAGTTCAATTCATATCACCAAGAAGTATGTCCAACCACTTTAATATTAACCCCTATCTCTATATGTCAACTTTCCAAGTGTTCTTTTTCTTCAATTTTGCAAGAATTTCTTCTTTCCCCCAAGTGAGCCACACCCTTGCTGAAACCATTTCCTCCTCCACCTCACCTTCTTCTTCTTCTTCTTCTTCTTCAGCTTTACGGATTAGACCTCTGGTCTTTTCCAATTCAAATTAACTTCTGAATTTAAATATTTCAGACACTTGGTAGGACTCCTTGGATAGGGCACTGGCCCATTACAAGGCTCCTGCACACAATAACACAAACACAGAAACAATCCAGTCAATCTTCCATACCCTGAGTAGGATTCAAATCAGTCAAAAGCAGTATGTGCCCTACAGTAATTATTGTTATCAGCATCGGTCTAATAATGGCATCAAATTAGTTACTACAGTAATCCTAGAAATGTATAAATCACTATTTCTCATTTTATAATTTCCTCACCCGCTCATATGCTTTAAGCCATTTACAGTGGCGAACAATAGTACTATGTGTCAGTAGTTTATTTTACCTTCCTTAATAAAAAATGTGAGTCTTCCATGTGTGATGTGATGTGATTGTATGCAAATTTGTTTATCTATGTTCAGTTCCTGCTAAGTAGCTTTACAATGCAAATGACATACACGAAACACATCACAAACACATTCTGTTACTTGCTGCCTGTCATTGTGCATAATTCATCTAATTTATACTGCACTAGCAGAACTTAATGTTCAGCACCACTAATGCCAAAGCCTAACATTGGACATGATCCTGAGCTATTCTCACCCACACCCAAATGTTCATTACCATGTTCATAAATGCCACCCCAGTCCCAATCCTGAACCAAATTAATCTAGTCCAAACCCTTACACCCTGTTTATTTAAGATTCATTTTAACATGATCCTCAAATCTACAAGTAGGTCCTTCAAGTGATCTCTGTCCTTCAGGTTTTCCAACCAAAATTTTGTATATATTTTAATCTCCCCCATGTGTATAACATGTTGTGTCCACCTCATCCTCCTAGTAACATCTGAAGAGCACAAATTATAACCATTTTAAGTAGACCCTCAAGGCTGGGGATTTGGTCCACAGCTAATAACTTCTAGCAATAAAAAGTCAGCACGTTAGAAAATGTCACAATGAGCCTCAGAACAGAATTAGGATCAGTGGAGTACTTTTGTGAATGCTGAAATGAACCATTTGGTTTTATAAAATATGAGGAACATGTTGAGTATATGAGCGACTATTAATGTCTCAAGGACTCATCTCCATGGAGTGAAGTTAGTACAAATTATGAAGCTGCTGTTTACAAAACTTCCTCCCAACTTCTATCACTTCATCCCTCTTAGACCTAAATACTCTCCTCAGCAAACTGTTTTACAGCATTGACAGTTTACATTCCTCCCTTAATATACAAAGAACAAGTTTCCCATTCATACAAAACAACAAATAAAATTATAGTTCTGTATACTTTAATCTCTGACTTCGGAGATGAAAAACTGGAAGACAAAATTGAGAACAGAATGGTATCAAGCATACTCTGAATTTCATCTACTTTTAATTACATATTATTTTGCGTTGCAATTTCATCATACCTTCTGAAACATGCTGAATTCAAAATGAACGTTGTGCTTTAACTGTAAAATTTGGCATATTCTAATAATTTCGACCAATTAAAACGGTGGAAATAATTATCATGTAAGATTTGAGGTTTTCACGGCGGTGACTATGAAGAAAGCAGTCTTCTGGGATTTGGCACCGTGTATATGTGGTGTTAACCGACGTTTCGGAGGAANTCATGTTCATATTTTGGGGGTAAATTGATAGAATGCAAGGATTGGACAAGCTGATGATCATCAGACCCAGAGAGTGAATCTTATTGGTTACACACCGGAATACGACATCCACGAATATCGTCTGTAGTTGGGGTTTTCATCCCCCGTTTAGAGTTTAATTATGACACAGACATCCAACTTAATATTAATTGAACTTGGTTGTTCATATTATTTTATAGTATATTAATGAAATTCTACTTACGCCAAACGTTTCCTATGATGATACTACACTTAACACTTACAAACCACCCACTTTAAATGCCAACACAATGAAGACCTGAAATACCCACATATTAAAACCAATTCATACTATTAACTGCAACAATGTGTACATAAATACTTATACAGCAAATTTATATTGAATAAAAAACAACTGACGTTCGCGCCTATTGATATCACTGTACGGTGAGCTGCTATGTGACCTGCCATTAACAGTTGATCCTTAAATTTTTCATACGGTATATTTCCCAATATTGACACAGTACATCGCTGCGGGCGCCTCTCCTAGTGCCATCTATTGTTCATATTCAGTATTATGACAGTTTCGGTACAAGTAAGTTCGAGACTGTTCGAGACGTTCGAGACATGCAGAACGTTCCAGAAGTTCCAGAACTTACTACGTATTATGAGAATGGAGTACTATGCGCTACGTACCACAGATTAATACATAGGTACATTTCCGTATTACACGGATAACTAAGGCAATGCCGACAATTCACAACTACGTTGAATAATTGGGTTTGTGGATGTTTTCCGTCGTCCAATATAATAAAAAACTAGATAAAGTTTCGGAAGTTGGAGCTGTTTCCGTCCTCAGGTGAAAGGGGAGACACGTACTCTGTTGGGTCCCTTAAATAGTGCTAACCTGGTCGTGATTGTGATTAGGTGTTTCTAAGCGTTTCTATGGGACCGACAGAGTAGGTGTGTCACGCTTCACCTTAGGACAGTCACAGATCCAGCGAAAGGCTGTGTTCTCTAGTTTTTTAAAATACCGGACGATGGACAAAGTGCAAAAACTTAATAATTCCGAGGGTCGTACACATCGTTCGAAGCTACAACCCACAACCATGTGCCCGTAAAGCAAAGTTGGCAACGAAAACGTTTTTAGTTTGATGACTTAAGTTTAAGTATACAGAAAGTGAAACGGAAGCCTTTGCTGTAGTAATATAAAGTGCACGATATCTATAGTGTAACATGAACTGCAGAATTTTTGTAGAGTTTACAAATGGCTCATATTCCACGGATCTTATATTGTGGCGACACAAAATTGTTCTACCAATATTACTATTCCACATTTCTCTGAATCGATCAGAGTAGCGTAGTCGCAGTGGTACGACGTAGAAATTTGTTATATACTTGTCAACTAGTTGGTTATATTACTTGAACATTATTTTTTTTATGTCATTTAAATTAATTATTTAGATATATGCTTAAGTATTACATACATGAACAAGGAACATTTTTGTGCCGTTTCAGTAATAAAATGGATCCATGGTTGAGTGCTGGCATTAGCGAAAGGGAGGGGAGACTAATACAAAAGTTCGAAGACAATTTCGAACCAAATGACCGTCTTCCAGATTCTGTCGAATATTTAGCATCCTTAGGTAACGTATTTCATGAAGAAATATTGTTAATTTAAATTGTTATGAAATATGTAAGATTTGAGATTGTTATGAAATAATTTAAATGATATATTTGTAGGGCATATATAGTTGCTCTTCCAAACACTTGTAGACTCACAGCTGTATTTGATTACAGAGAAAAAGCTGACACAGTTGAAGGAACGACAGAGCAAAAAAGATCTCGTGCAATCTCTCGAGGAAAAGCGTAAATCTAGCATGTTGAGGTTGGTGTCTGAAAACAGTAACACACCCGTTACCCAAGAAGACTTAGATTTGGATGCACCAGTTAATAGTAACCATCCTGCTCATGTATTTCTGAGACACATCGCACCAGAGCGCCAAGCAGTTACTTTGGGTGAACTTGTTGAGCTTCTAAAAGCTGACCAGTTGGCAGAAATTCTAGCAGAGGAAAATAATAGTAATTGCAATCCAGATAATTAAGTTGGTTCTAAAGTCAAAGTAAACCATTAAAATGGCAGATTTGAAGAAACGTTTTTGGGGACAAAGAACCTACTGTTTGATAACAGGTGCTAGCAGAGGAATTGGACAGAAATTTGCCACAGAGTTTTCACGCAGATTTGCAGCCAACTCACTTTTGGTCCTCATGGCTCGATCTGAATCAGGTTTAGTACAAACTAAAGAGCTTGTAACTAATGCTAATGCAGGTGTTACAACTAAGATTTACTCAGTGGATCTTAGTAAACCGGATCCTGAGTTGTTTCTCAATATGATACAGACTTCTCTTACAGATTCTGGTTATAATCCTGCAGATTTTGCTGTATCTCTGATAGTTCATAATGTAGGTTCAGTTGGGGATGTATCAGAAGTAACTTCTAATATGTCTTGCCCAGAGAAATGGCAGGAGTACTTCTCTCTGAACCTCTTTTCAGTAGCTTGTCTCAATTCCCAATTTCTTAAGGTGTTCCCAGAAGGATCCGTGAAACAGAGGACTGTTGTCAATGTTACGTCCCTTTGTGCAACCAAACCATTCAAGTCAATGGGATATTATTGTACTGGGAAAGCTAGCAGGGAAATGTTCTTCAGAGTATTGGCAGAAGAGAATCCATCACTTAATGTTCTTAACTATGCTCCTGGTCCAGTGGATACAGACATGTTATTGGAAGTGATAAGCAGCACTGGAGATGCTGACATCAAGGAAATGTTTGTAAATTTGAAGAAAACAGAAACAATCCTAACTGTTGATCAGACTACAGAGAGAATTATCAAAGTATTGGAAAATGGAAAGTTTGAATCTGGACAGCATGTGGACTATTATGATGAGTGATGTATTTACCAAGTTTTGCACTGTTAATGTAAACACATTCCAACTGAAGGACAGTAACTAATAAAGAATAACTATTTACTTGTAATTCTGTTACATTGTAGCATGGAGGTTACTTTCCAAGATGTATTATTTTATTATAATAAATAGTCAGAAATTATTACTGAGAGTAGTAGCTAATGCAGTAGCACATATAGCAATATGGAAAGTTTCCCATCCAAACTTTGCCTATCATAACAGGATTTTAAAAGTTCCAAACCTTTGTCAGACCAGTGTACATAGTCATATAATCAGTGGTAAACAGGTCTGCAGTGAACAGTATGATTAACTGACACTCCAGACAACAAATCTCTTCTTTTTCATGTCACAAGCCATGCCTACAACACCCAGTGTTTTATACAAATTGTGACTGAAATCTGCCCTTCGTTATTTCAAAATTGGAACTCTTAATGCAGTCGCTTCCTCATAGCATTGCATCTTCTCACCTGACCTATACAATATATACTGCCCATTATGGTCTTTTTTAATATAAATCTCTGGGTCTAAATCCAGTCTCTTTCAGAAAGTTATTGGTTTCAGTCATATGAATGCATCCAAATTATTTTGATTATCAGTTAAATTATGTTTTTTTCCCCCACCTATTATATTTTACATTTACCCTTCGCCGTGTTATGCTTTACACACGCACACACACACACACATATATATATATACTATTTGCAGATGGAAATATGGCCGACCATGCAAGATATGTAAAATACCAGCAGTAGGAAAATGTGGCCGGTATCATGTTCGTGTACTCATACAAAAAGTCTTTCAATTAATTTTAACTGATATTGTCTGTTATTTTTAACACTGAAACTTTTTAATTGTGTTGGTATTTTGGCCTACTCTCTATTTCTAATGGTAGAAATCCCTTTATGACAGCCTGTGTTTATCATACATGTAAAAGTGTTTCCTTTGTAATGTTGGCTTTATTCGATATTAAATTGTTGCACTTGATGGACCTTGCTACTCATTCATCAGAAGTAGCTCAGGCTACATGTGGGTAGTTACTCTGTTTACAGGTTGTGTATTCAGTGGGTGCTGAGGAAGATACTTGTATTGAGGACAAGAAATAACAGGAGAATGGAGAAAATTACACGCTGGTAATTGCAAGCTTCAGTAGTTATTAAGGATGAAATGAGTGAGTCATATAACACACTTGAATGGAACAAAGATTCACACAAAATGGTTAAAAAGTCACAAGGGGGACCACCTGGGAGATTTAGACACAAGTGAGAGGATAATATTAAAATGAATGTTAAAAGAATATGTTTCAAAGTTATGAACTGGGAAGAAGTGGTGTATGATAGAATCTCATGTCTGATTTTGTGAAAGTAGTAACATTGTTAGGGTTCCATAACAGCAGGGAACTCTTTCTCCAAGTGAATAATCACAAGTTGCTCATGGCACAACACAGTATCAGAAAGCTGGGATTAAGTGGAGACTGTGTTTGTGCTACAGGGCATTCAGTCAAGGAGGAAACTTCACAACACCGTTTACCAGACCCACTATTCCTCACAGATTGCTACTATAGCTGTAACAGTGCGTTTATCAGCACTAATGACTGATTCTGCTATCATCAGTTACAGCAGCAATCTGAGGAATTTGGGGCCAGGTCAGTGGTGTTGTGAAGTTTCCTCCTTAACTGAATGCACTGTAATTGCCTTATCCCCTGTTTTGGACTTACAGACCCTAATAATGCATTATGGAGACAGATATCAGAAATTGTCAAATTGATTTGAGAGGCCTTAATGATTGACACCACACACAGTGTTATAGAATATATAAATGCATGTTTCCATGCAGAAACAGCAATGGCAATTTCTTTTTTTTTTTTTTTTTTTTTTTNTTTTGTATGTGAATAGTGAACTATTTTGGACAAAGTGTCACTGCATGGTGACTGGCCTTAATGATACTATGTTTTCTTTTCTGCAATTGATGTGAAAGGGACTTCCTGCTTCCTCCCCAATTAATCACAATTATTCTGGCAGTCGGTACTATAACTGGTGCAGTTGGCAAAACCAGTGTTACATAAACTAAGAAGGAAGGCTACAGATTGTGATATGGTGACTTCATGTAACCAATAAACACTTGTTTTTGGTTTGACTCCCGTGACTGCAATAGCCGATGGTGTGAAGTTCATTATAGTGAGTTGAAATCACTGACACTGTCAATTTAACAAAAGTCTCAGTGAGAAGGCTTTCTTCTGTAACTTTCTTATTTGAATGTACTTAACAATTTTCCTTTTGCAGTTATTTATAGCTGACAGTCCATAAAGTTAGCACCCTCTGTAAATCTCTCCCTGGGAAAATCCACATTCCTGACTCTTAACTTTCTGCGTTGAATGTACTTACAGTTTTCCTCTTGCAGTTATTTATAGCTGACAGCCCATAAAGTTACCACTAACCCACACCCTGTACATCTTTCCCTGGAAACGGAAACTCTGCATTCCTGAATCTGTAGGTACTCCACTGATACTGATAGCTTCAAGGTCAATTTCCCTCCAGATTGTAGCCATTCAATAATGACCATCAGTTGACTTGCCTCAGCTTCTCTTCACTGGCAGCTTGTTTCATTGTGTATTGTGCCACATGGCTACCAAATGAGAGCTGGGAATTGGGAGTTTTGATTAAGTTAAAGTGTTCAGCCCTGATTATGGCAAAAGCCCGAAGTGCTTAGAACTGAATATGAAACCTGAAATAACACATCTCTGTGAAGTCAGCAGCTCATCAAAGGACAAAACACAAAGACTGTATGGACTATTTTGACATTGATCCCATTCTGAAGAAAAAAGAAAACTGGATCACCTGTTCTTTATGACAGAAAACCAGTGACACAAAAACAACTGCAGAACACACACATTCTCTTGAGTGTAATTTTGTCAGGAAGATTACTGTCATACTGGTTGACAGACTACTACACAAGGCAAAAGCCAACCATTTTGCAGCATGCCTAAAAATCAAGAACGTTCAGTGTTCCAAAGAGGTGGCTTTAATGTATAATGTGTTAGGTGATGCAAATACATTTGGAACTGACCAGTATTGTAGAGTATATACGTAAAAGCCAGTTCAACTTTAAAACTTGTTACTGGGTTGTGGGAACATGGCAAATAGTGGGTGGCAGGAATTTCGACTCATTAAAGAACAGCAGTTTGATGTAAGTACAAGAATATGAGAAAGGCTTTAACTAATTGGTTCAGATAATGCTGAAAATACTGAGAACGTTTAATTGTTCATTATTTTCATATCACCGCGATAACCACTTGAAAAAATAAATACTGCTTAAACTGCATTACTATTTCTAAACCCTGCTGCCACACTGCGATATAAGTAATTAGATATTAGGAGATGGACTTGAAGATCATATATTTTATCCGTTTTTTTGGATATTATGAATATCCATTATAACCAGGATTTATACAGATTTTATAAATTCTGTTTATGTCAAGGTTACTGCACTGAACAATTAGTGCATATCTACAGCTCTGAGTATTATGTAGTCAGCACCTTATCTACTCAAGATCACCGAGTTTATGGATTTTGTCCATTAGCAGATATTCTGAAAAGAACACAACATTTCAGAAACTAGATATGTTGTCATCCTAGGTGAAAGGGTGGGGAACCACCTACTCAGGTCCATTAGAGAGCTAAAATCAATCACTGGACCATCATCAGAACCATTTAGAACAGACGACACCTTACGTAGCTTAATATAATCAAATATATTAGAGTCAATTTTACCGACCACACAACATATTTTTATTATTATTGCACTACATTTCGACCTCAAGAGGTCATTCTCAGGTGTACGAACACAGCTGTATAATTACACGCAATCACATTCGTCTTCTCACTTATTCGATCCTGTATCTTATTCAGGCTTACGCTCAATAATATATCAAGCTCTCTCATAAAACACAAGTTAAAATTGTTCTAAATGTCAAAAGTTAAAATTTAAATTTAAAATTTTTAAAAATTAAAGTTTGTGAATTGAATTTCAATTCAGATCACTAGATCACAAAAGAAACTAGGATGGAAAGAGAATCATGGGATTCAAAATGGTGGCATCGAAGACTCCCAGGGGAATAGAATAGTAGATCAGAGGCAAGTGCTGAAAATTTGGGAAAAGTGTATTACAGAACTATATGATCGACCTAATCGGCCAGAAACCTTAGAAGTTGAACCAGAAGAAGAAGTAGATACAGACGGGAAAGGCCCATATATTTTACAAAGTGAGGTGAAAAAAGCTATCAAGGAAATGAGGAAGGGAAAGGCTACAGGAGATGATGATGTACCTGGAGATGTGCTCAAGTTGCTGGGAGAAGGTGATTTGAAAACACTGAAAAAACTAATGAACACCATATATGAAAGTGGAGAGTGGCCCAAGGACTTTACAGAAGTGACAATGATTGCCTTAAAGAAAAAGACAAAAGCTACAAAATGCAGCAACCATCGCACAATAAGCCTTATTGCACATACAGCAAAGATAATAGCAAAGATACTTAAAAGAAGAATTGAAAGGAAAATAGAGGATATACTTGGAAAAGATCAGTTTGGATTTAGAAGAGGAAAAGGAACCAGGG